GCCACTCCCCGGTTAACAAATCCCTCTCAGAATTCCCATTCTCTGCCCACCTCCATATTTCCGATTCCCTCTCACCAACACATTTCCCATCTTTTCTCAGAAGTCCTATTCCCTCACAGAACTCCTATCCCTTCCCACATTCCCATTCTATCTCACTCCCTCATTTCCCATGCCCTCTCAAATTCCAATTTCCTTCCCCCTCAGAATTCCCATTCCCTCCCATAATTTCAATTCCTTCCCAGAATTCCCACTCTATCCCTGCCCCATTTGCTCCCATTCCCAGCGTCACGTGCTTCAGGCCTGGCACCACGTGGCTCCAGGCGGCGCGCGCCTCGCCCCAAGCCTGGGTCAAACCACCAGCGGGTCCAGGGGTAGAGGAGGATCAAACATCTCTCTTTTCAGTTAAATGCATAATGCGCTTGGAATATATCTGTAACGGTGAGGAAACTGAGAGATCCAACGTCGGCGCCTCGAAAAGAATTAACTCCTTCACACTGCGTGCGGAAATATGTGAACATGACGTCACCTACTCCCCCTCCTTATGATGCGATAGTGAAGCAGCCCTTGGCCGCGTGACGCTTCCAGCGCGAGGAGGGAGCGATAACCTTCCGCCATTTATCGACAGCTTTAATCCCCTCCACGTTCCCCAGCGTACCCCTCAACTCCTACATCCACTCCCTCAAAATACTGCGGGCTACTTCGAAATTCGACGCAGGTGCGATGGGGATGATATTGGAAGAGCGAAGGGAGAGGGTGGCGGCGGTAGGCGCCAAAGTGTGAGGCGGTGCGGGCCGGAGGCGTCGAAAGAAAATCAGGAGGTGAGGCCCTTTCCCCTCCCCCTACATATTCACCAAAAAATCACCCTAATATTCCCCTATAGTCACACCAATACCCCAAAATCACCCCAATATTCCCCGATAGCCACACCAATACCTCCAAAACCACCCCAATATTTCCTTATAGTCTCACCAATACCCCCAAAACCGCCCCAATATTCCCCTATAGTCACACCAATACCCCCAAAACCACCCCA